TTGATGGCCATAGGTGTCCTTTTAGGGGAAATAGATGGCCCTGGTAGATGATTAAGCCACCAGGTAAACCAGGAATCGCCATCTATTTTTCAAGCAAAACAACCAAAAAGGACACCTATGTTTGATGGCGCGCAGGATTTGAGGAACCCACCGGACAACCACAAAAAACCCGGACCTGCGGGCCGCGCCTTGAGCACCGCGCGCGCGGGCAGCGGCTCCGCTGGCTCCGCCTGTCCGGTTTCAGGTTGGAGCCTCCGGTTGAACAACTTGCGATCGGCTCGATGGGAAGGAGAAATGAGTCACTTGATCAAAACCTGGTACAAAAATGGTCGACCCGGAACCATGCTTCAAGAATTAAGAAGGCGGCTGCAGCTATTTATGGCTGGGATCATCCCTTACTAACCTTCATCTACCCGGGTTTTGATTGTGGCTCAAATGGAGTCTGACCCCGAAGAAATTGGGAATCCCCAGCTTGCTGTCCTTTGAGTGAATCCCGACTTGTTCATTCCCACCCGGACTCGGTCATTCCCTACTGAGCACGTCCAGTTTTGCAAGTGCCTCTTTCGGGTTTGCTTTCCCGCACTTAAGCTGCAGCAATTAATCTTAAGGTGCTGGCGATTTCAAGAAGTTGTGAAACTTACGCATGCCTCACGAGCGCGTTCAACGGCTATCGCCATTCATTCACGAAGCCCGCAAAATAGTAGGTGTCATCTCCCAAAAGGAGGCATCGCTTTCCCAAATGTCAGGATGAGAAGCAAACAAACCTGCGAAATCTGCTCCCTGCCTGTGTGATATTCTGCACATCAGCCGTGTGGTTGTAGGTCACCAGTGCATTGCAAGGCAGCGCAAGCCTGAGGATCGAGCAGATCGCGGCTCGACGCCAGTGGGCCGAGCACATCGCAAGAATCGTGTGGGATGTCATTAGGCGCCCGTTTTATCATCACCTCCAAAAGCAAAGCGTGAGGGACCCTTGTCCCAAGTCAAAGATTGGCCAAACAGCAGCAACTTTGTGTGATCTCTCGGGCTTCTATTCGAGAAGAGGAAAAATTGATGCCCCAAGTTCCGTGATCAAAGGCGTGGCACAAACACATGAGAAAAGAACAATCAATTCAGGGAACAACAACACGCTCCGCCCGCGCAAGGTGTGACATAGCAAGATCAGAACGAGTTCTCGCGGCTTCCTTTCTGCAGTTCACTTGCCGTGGCTTGAGTGCAATCAGGCTGAGTCCAGTGGAAAATGAGCCATTCAAACTGGCGGTCCGGATTCTCTCCGCAAACCAACTCTTCAACCAGCGAGTGAAACCTGTTTCCAGCAGCTTCGCAACTAGATCACGCCTGGCAGCGCCTCTTCGACTTCCCGCTTCTTGCTGCCCGGGCGCAAGAGAAATCGCCACAAGGGCGCGTGATGGAAACCAAGACTGGGTCTCATGCCGTGTCCTGGCGTCAGACCGCCGTCGGGCGGCCTCTAAACATGGGCGAGATGACAAAACTGGGCTGCCCTCAGATCCCCCGCTCAAAGTTGAACTTTTAGCGGGTGAAATGGAAGCTCCCACTAAACACTAAACGGCTAAAAAGCTAAGGGGATGGCTGGGAGCCACCAAGAACACCTTGGCGCCCAATGTTCTCCATGTTGCGAGGGTGCACAGCTGAGAGGCCCGGTCCGCCCGCAAAAGACCTTGCCAAGGGCCCTTTGGGCCTGCCGTGCAATAAGCCGAAAGCTCCGCCCCGCCGGGTCCTGTATGCACTAGTATGCAAGATGGAGAAAGTGAATTGAGCTCTAAGCTGAGCGCATGAAAGAGTCATCGGGCAGCAACGCTCTGGACTTGCCTCTCTGCCTCTCTGAGCTTGCCGTCGACATATCAAACAACCACTGCCTCTGACACAAACAAAAACTACCCTACTGAGCTTGACATGTCAAACAATAGAAACCTCACAAAAAAGCCTCGCGACTGAGAAGTCTCCCTACGCGCGGCAGGTACAAGCGATGATAGAATTCCAAGAGGCGACCATCCCTCAGAGGGGGTCGGAAAAATATAGAAAAAAAAAGGAAGAAGAAAACAAACGGACCTCAAAAGGAAAAATCGAAAGGAAGGCCTTCCGAAGGGGTCGAAACAAAACGGACCTCAAAAAAAAAGATCGCAATGAAAGGCCGAGGAGTTCAGCCTCTCTTTTCGGCCCGCCGAATCGGAGCGAACTCACCGCGCCGCTGCCTTGGGCGCCTAGAGCGGAGTCCAGCGCTAGATCGGCGTCTCATATCTAGATACTGACTTGTGGTCATATATGTACATATACACGGTGAACACAAACATCAACGTGTGTGTGTGCATATATATATATATAATATACCTAAGTATATGTGTCACACGAAGCGTTTGGGAGATAATCGGGTGTACTCTGGTTTCTCCACCCTGTCTCCTCAACCTTGAAAGAGCCAAACAGCAAAGTCGCAAATCGCCAAGCCACATGTCCAAACCAATCACCAGGACTGTCCACATCTCAAGCAGCAACCACTTCCATTGCTTCAGCCCCTTGGAAAAAATAAAACCATGTCCAATAGCGATAGATTCCCGTTAAAACCAACGAGGGCAAGTAACAAATATTCAGAAGCAAATGGTCCCCACTGCATCCCTAACCTTGCTGGTGCGATAGGTAGGGAATGACCCGTGTTGGGCATGAACCTCAGGATCTCCTCTAGGAAAACCACAAGTTGGATGGAACCACCCAGCAAGTATTGCCTCAGTTGCGTTCTGCTCCCCTGCCAAAAGTTTAACTTTTAGTGGTTTAATGGAAAACCCTTTTTGTTGGAAAGAAGTTAAAGTCCTACTGTGGATGGACGAAATCATGCACCACCTAAAAAAGCCCTGGAATAATGATTCCCCTGTAAAAACCAACGAACAATGGTTTCCAATGGTTTCAACGTGGTGTAGGTTTTGTCCATCCACAGTAACATCCCTTGGCAAAATGCACAAAAAAGCTGCCTCGACCATCCCTGAGCCGCCTTCGCGCACAGCCGCGCCGAGGGCTTGAGGCCTGCGGCCCTCAGCAGCTCCAACATCTCCTCGTGAGATGTTGGAAAACCGACGAGGACATCCCCGAGGCGCTCGGGTACCTGAGGGGAACCAAAGGAGCGAGAGTCCTCGGGGAACAAAAACATGTCTGTAGTTGAGTCTCCTTCTGACCCGAATCAAAAATGGGCCATTGACCAACCATTATTTTGGGTAATGAGCAACCATTTTTTAAGGGTCAGAAGGAGACTCCAGGTGCAGTTGAAGGAGTGCTCAGTCTAAAAATAGACCGATGGGAAAGTTGACTGAACCGCGGGTTTGCTGTGAGCAAGGGGCAAACTGAGACGGCTGGCGCGCTGGCGTCGGTCAAAACTCCTGCTTTTCATGGGCTGTGTGTGTGTGTGTGTCCCCTTAGGATACCCAGTCTAAAATCATGTCCGTATCCCTAATTACAGGCTTTTGCAACAGGTCAGAAAGGAAAACGGCGTAGGGGATGGAAAAGATGCTCGTTCTGTTCGCTGCCGCTGCTTTCTCGCACGCCGCCCCTTTTTCCAGGTGGTTGCCCTCGAAGGTTATCCGCAAGCCAAGGCCGTGCAGGTTCTATGATTCCAAAACCCGAATTTTCAGAATATACCCAAGCAGCCGGACCTTTCTCATGGCGAACTTCCTTCTACCCCCCCCAAAAAAAACTATGTCCTCCAACCCCCGCCCCCAAAAGAAGAAGAAACAAAGAACAGCGAGCTCGCGCTCCCAAAAAAAAACCAGGCCGCGGCCCTCGCCCAAAACCCCCCGGCCGCCCCCGGTCGCCCCCGGTCGCCCCCGGTCAGCGGGTCCTGCGCGATCTCGGGGCTGCGGTTCTGGGCCATCAGCACCGCCGCCTCCAGGGAGTCCTTCTCCAGCTGCGCCTCGAACCAAACCGAGGCCCACGCTTGGGATCCGACGCCGGGGGGGGGGGGATCCAAAACGTGGTCGACGTTGGAAGGGGAGCAAAAATTGGGATTTCAGCAGTTCAGTGGTTGGATTTCAACCACTAAACCACAATAAGCAGACATGTAAAATGTGTCCAACAACAACCCTGAAAATGGGTTTTGCTGGGCCAGGGATCTCCCAGCTTCACTGAAGAGAGTCTGGCAAAAGTGTGGATGGTTGCGGGGAGATGTAAAAATAAGGGTGATCTAAGCGAAACCTGGGATTTCTCAATGGTTCAAAGGGAAACTGAAGGAAACCCAGCGCTTTTCCGGCAAACATCGCTGATTGACAGCGTCATACTCCCACCCGAGTACAATGGACGTGCCTGAGCGTTTTTGTCAGTCAGTGTCATCCAAACACCCTGACGAAGATTTCTGTTCCAAGCAGGGAGCCAGATAATTTGACCCATGCAGATCCTGCCAGCGGCAACCGAAAACCAAAAAGACACTGCCTCCCGAGAGCAACGAAAATGCGCGTGGTGACACGGGAACTCGCACAAAAACCCAGATCGTTGAACTCACTCGTCCACCTCCCACCTCCCGTGAGCCGCGACACCTGGAGAAGAAGCAACGTCAAGAAAAACCTTAGTTTTGTGGACTGAGTTTGCCAGAGAAGCGGCGTCAAACACTTCAACCGCCCCATCAGCCCCCCTCCCCTTTTATCAGACACTCCCCCCATCTCCAAAGGGCAGTAGAGCACAAGCACAGACTCAACTCCAAGGCCAACATAAACGTTGCAGGTTGCACAAACACAAACTTTCAGTGTCCAACATAACTACCCTTTGCAAACAAAATGACGGAACAAAAAGAAGAAAAAAACACATGGAGGAAAAAACAAGTCCCCTCCGCCCCACCCGGCCACCCCTTTTCCGCCCTCCTCGGCCCATTGCGCCTTGGGCAAAGCTGCCCGCAGCACCCGCAGAGCGGTTCCCGGGTCCCCGTGGCGCAAGCAGCCCTGCAGCAGCGTGGCCTCGAGCCGCCGCGCCGAGTCAAGCCGTCCATTTTTCGGGACGAGACTCATGGAGAAAATCCATCCAAGCACCAGTTGGCAGGCTTGGGTTTAGCCTCCTGTCTTCAAATCGCGTTTCATGAGGACCTGGAGCGGAATGGATTTCGTCCATCCGTGTGTGTGCGTTTTTCCTTGCCGACCTCAAAACCGAATGGGAAACACAAGAATTTGGCCGGGCCTGACGAGTAGGAAAATTGTTTTTGCCTGGTAGTTTCTCTCCTTTACTCAGGCTGGTGAAAAAAGGAGCCAACCCCTTCGGCCCTTGTATGTCAATCAGCTTCCTGGAGTCATTCAAACTCAAGAGCAGGCACCAAAGGATGACCAGGGCAAAACTGTGCTGGCAATTGCGCACCTTGCATTAGGAGCTGTAGTTTGACCGCGCCTGATGATGTGGAAAGAGGCCAAAAAGCAACTTCGCAAATCAATGTTAATAAGTGACAAACTACAAGATGACGCAGTTGGTGAATAAAACGAGAATGTGCTCAGCGTCTAAGACTCGCCCCCCACCCCAAACCAAGGCTCTAGCTGCCTCCAGCCCCTCTGAAGCAAGCCCCCTGAGGTGTAGAAGCCCGTCAAGTTCGCTCTAGAAACGGTCAAATCCCTCTAGAAACTGGTCAAAATCCCCCTAGAAACCGGTCAGAAACCGGGGAAGGCAGCTTCCACTTTCACAGCGCCGCAGCCGGCACTCGACGTTGACTGCTTGTGGACGCACATCAAGCAGATGGCACGCAGGTTGCCCCCAGCTTTGGTTTCACAATTTTAGATTTGCGCACAGCGCGCTCGGCGCGCGAGCCTCTTGATAGTTGACCCAGTCGACTTCCTTGCCCCGGAGCTTCAGCACTACCCTAGGCCACTGCGAAGCTTTGCTTGAAACCCGCGTGGCCCAAGGCGGCTGCTGGCCACGGTTCCAAAGTGGTGACATCAGTCCACCTGTCCACGCGTTAAAGTCGGCTAGGCCGCCAGCAAGGTCTTACCCTGACCCCCATGGGCAGTGACTCTGCTGCAGAATCTGTGTGAGAGACCTGCAGCACACGCCACCCCGCGCCTTCAAACTGGGCTGCACGAATGCCCACCATGCCGCATTCGAGAAGCTTGTCGTCTGACCTGTCCAATCCGCCAACGCAAAACCCATGCCCACGGCAAGGGTTAAGCATCCGCACAGATTTGCAGCATCTCTGTCATGCTCGCTGCCTTGTCACGGGCCTGACTGACAAGAGCGACATTCTCTCGAAACTGCGTCGAGCTTGAACTCGTGCAGGAGCGCCAAACCAGGCTGTCTCGTTCTAGCCCTTGAAGCTATGTGGAAGTGCTCGTGCGCCCACCATATATCTTGGAAACCAGCTCGCGCTTTTTCGGCGCCGACTCAGTCACTCAAAGAAACACAACACTCCAAGGCAGACCAAAACACAGTGCCTCAAAGCCAACCAAAAGAATACTGGCCGAGGCGGGCAGCACGAAGCGTTGCCAAGAGCGAAAACAAATGTTGCCTAAGCCTCTCTAAGGAACCCTGCAAAACCCTACAAAACCCACTCAAACCCTACTTGAAACCAGACCTGAAACCCTAGGGAACCCTGTGGCTCCCCACTAAGCAACTTGTCACCATTCCATGGACCCGAACCGTGGAATCCCAGATTCACCAGTGCGGGGCGTAGGCTCCTTCTGCCTTGAGAAGACTTCTTGGTATCCAAAAGCAATCCAGATCGGATTATTTTGCAGAAAAGGGGAAGCAATAAGAATCCGAACAACCTTCCTTTGTTCACTATCTTACCCCGGTTTCTGACTTTGACCCCCAGAAACCGTCAGTATTGAATGACCCCCTACTGAAAGGTTCTCGTCGCTCCAACATCTTTCCTTTCTTGGTCGACGTTGGAAGGGGAGCCAAAGTTTAAATTTTAGCAGTTAAGTGGGGATTTCAACCACTGAACCACAACTTGCGCAAAAATGGTTCAAATGTTTCCCAACAACAACCATGCGTTCTTCCCGTCGGACTTTCAACCCGAGGATCGAAGGTCTTGGTATCCGCAGGGCACTTCTCCCGCAGCATGCGCTCGTACACCTCGCGGGTTCGAATGACCGATTCGAGATCTGGAAAGGACCCAAATCCACGAGGACGTGACCAAACCACAAGGAAAAACTTACAGTAAAGCCTAAAGCCAAGATTCTGCCCTTGTGTTTCAACGGCATTCGAGGCACAGGACGCGCGCGCGCGCACACACACACACACACACACACTGGGCAGGTTGAACACCCCGGGCCTCCTAAAAGCAGACGCAGAGTCGCGGCTGTGCAACGCAGCAAAACAAGAGGTGTGCACCCATTGAGTCCGCTTGCAGCAGGGGCCCGCCCAGTCCACTCTAGCCTGAAACTCTACCAAATAATATTCTGCTCATGGAGTTTCGGTGCATTGTATTAAAAAAAAAAAAAAAAAACAAAAAAAAAACTAATGGGGTTGGGATGTGATTGAAAGCAACAAAACCATTGGGCTTCTTTTGAGAAAAGCCCCAGGTGTCTTACAACAACCCAATGCGGATCTTGCCTTCTTTCCAGCCCGCAGGCTCCTCCTCGACTTCCCGTGGCAAAAAAAAAGCAACCTCGGAGGCCCGCTAGGTCTCGTTTTGTTCCCAAAACATGCGCAACGGCTATGTTTGGAGAAAAAACATGAAGCATGACGTTCTTGTTGCTCATCTTTGCCCCCGTTGCTGGGTTTTGCTTCGGCTTGGCTCGGCTGTGAGGACCGCCCGTTTCTTGGGCCTCCGACCTGACTCCCGCGTCGAGAAGAAAGATCGCTCCCGAGCCCCAGGGCCCTTCTCCCGCCTCCAGGGCTCGGGGAAGGTCCCCGCTCCAAATGCAGGTGGACATGAGGCAGGTGTAGACCTCCCGACAAACGAACCCCCCGACCCAACCGACCCGCCGGCGTCCACTTTGGGTGTCTTTTGTTGAGACTGCCTGTTTCGATTGGGGAAAACCAGAGCAGCAAGCAATCTACACCCATGGCATGGGTTACAAGACATCTCAACTATGATTGGGTGTAGATTCCCCTCCCTCCCACCAACATAGCACCTGCGGAAGGGTTCCTGGAAAATCAATTTCCTCTTGAAGCGACCCTTTGTGAGGTGCTATGTTGGAGAGAGGGTACTGTTCTGATGGCGCTTTTGGCGCTGAAGGGAACACCGAAGCCCTCCACTTGGTTGACGTTGGAAGGGCAGCAAAAAATTCAAGTTTGGGCAGTTCAGTGGATTTGGATTACCACTAAACCACAACAAGCAAAAATGCAAAAGGTTTCCCAACAACAACCATGTTAAGGGGACCCGTGGGGTCATTCCCTCATTCCCTTTGTGTTTGGCTTCACTAGTGGTTAACCTTGCTCTGCCAGGGCTGGTTCTCACCACACGGAATGAGAAATGGAATCACCCCTACAAACCATCCCCTGTGAACAAAAACCATGTAACCTCCACACCTCCCAAAGTGGCATAGTGGTAATTACTTCTCATGGCCCAAACCCAATCCCTGAAGCAACTGGAAGTGATTGGGCGTGGATTTGCCGTTCCGATGGCCCTTCTGGGCCTTGCTTGACGGGAGCACCGCAGCCGCGGGAGTTCTCCCGCGCCACTCGGGGCTCGGGGCCTGGGCGTTGATCTGGAAGTCGTAGCGCCTCTCGAGCAGCGCGAAGGCCGCCTCCAGGTCTCCGCAGCGGCCGTAGAGTTTGATCAGGATGGAGAGGGTGAAGTTGGACGGGGACACCCCCGCCCGCCTCAGAGGAGAAACGCGGTGGAATTCTAGCTACCTTGGAAGATGAGGAGAAAAGAAGAGAAACCCGGTGGAAGTCTAGCTAGCCCATTTTGGCAGGTACCAAGGAATCCTTGTTTTACAAAAGCCACAAGTAAACACAAGGCGATCACCTTTTGGGCCCATGACTGACAAATCCGAGCCAAGTTGTGGTCCACCCCGATCTCCGGTCTCCGGTGGCTTTCTGCTGGCTTCCAGTTCCCAGGAAAAAGCGGGGGCCCGACCCTCGAGGTGGGGACTCTGCAAAATCGGCGCCAAGTCGGCTACCGAGAACTCGCCCAGAGTGACTTGAACTTTGAAGCCCCGTGTTTGATCGCACAAGGACTGACAATATGTGTAATGTGTGTCCAGTTCGGAGCTTTTTGAGCCCACTCAGTTGCCCTTTAACAATATGTTTTCAGGGCCGTCCTTGTTGTAAAAAAAAAAAACGGGCAAATGGAGAAATGAAATCCATATTGAGTCCCCTGCCCCACACCCAAAACCGAGTGAAGATGAAAAACGCACCAGGGGCCGGTCTCCGGTTCTGGAAACTTGCTGGTGCTCAGCAGGGAATGAGAAATGGAATGGCCCTGACAAACCCTCCAGCTGGTGGTTTCCTCTAAGGGGACCAAAGCCTGAGTTCATTCCATTTCTCATTCCCTACTTCTCGCACCAGCAAAAAAGGGCACCTTTTCTTTGGGGTTTTGTTGACTTATTGAAGGGAAATCCTTCCCAAAAAAAGGAGAAAACAAGGGGGCACCACTGGACAACTGGGAGCCCTTTCTTTTCTCGGTTTTTTGACTTTAAAGGGAAGCAACTGGGAGCAAGAAATCTCGCATGAGGGAATGGTCCTTATAAACCGTCCAAACGGTGGTTTCCTTTAAGGGGACCAAACCCTGGGAACAAACCCTGAGAGCAAGAAATATCGCGCCAGTTCTGGAAAAACACGACGTCGTTCCATATATTTTTTTTCCAGGGAGCTCCATGTCGGCGAGGACCTAGGCTGGCGGGTTGAGGGCTCGTAGGCTCGTTGGATCCGGTATGCTTGGAACTCGGAAACGGGTGGCCCGTCTTTTTTATTGGAAATGGTACCCCCTTGTTTGGTGACTTCAAAGGGAAACCAAAAGGAAAACCCAAATCATTTGTTTGGTCTAAACAAAGACACCCGCAAACTAGCCGCCAGGTTGTTCGCGGACGTATTCAGCAGCACTCCGTTTTGTGAATGGCACACGTAATGGGACAGATCAGCCCTGCAAAGGGATTTTAGTGCTTGGTTTTTGCCGGCTCCAGGTTGGGGGAAGGGTCCGGGAAAAGGGACCGCACTGCGAGAGAGAGGCTCTTTAGACGGCTGCAGTACTTGAGAGGCGGGTGCCCAACAACGACATGTAGCACTTCCAAGTGAACATCCAGAAAGTCATTGGACCAGGTCACACATTCCTCAGCTGCAAACATGTGGACGAGACTGCAGGCAGAGTGGAGCTCTTTCGAAGACTGCACTTTTCCGACAATGGAACTGGAGTTTGGGCCGGTTTCAAGACGATCGTCAATGGCATTCCAAAGCCCTCGAATTGAAAACATTCCGATCGGTTGCAAAACTCATAGAGGCCAACTCATCGATGGATTCCACACCCGGATTCCACACATAGAAATTCATAGCAACTGGGCTTCTCTCCCGGGATATGAGGGACAATAGTCTTTCCCCTCTTAGGGCCGTGGAAAAATTGGGGTGGCCGCCCTCCTTGGAAATCAGGATCCCCTCACGTTCTCCCAAACCTACTCACTCCGATCATCTCTAATCTTTCCGTTTTAGACACCAACAAAAGCTTTTCCCCAAAAAACGGTCCACAGGAAGTGTTGACCAGCAGCCCCATTTGAGTACCCAGAACCACGTGAAGAATTAAGAAGTCGGATATCCGCAACTTATTTATGGCAAGGGGACTGTCCCTTACGAAAACCTTCATCCAAAGGGTTTTGAGCAAGTGGCTCATGTCACCACCAAAACATGCTCTTTCCCCAAAGAAACGGTCCACAGGAAGCTTTGACCAACAGCCCCATTCGTCCCTCGCCGCCCGCCCTCGCCGAAGCCGAAGCCGCGCCTCTTCCGTGAGCGCCCGGCGCTGGCGCTTGGCGCAGCCGTGCCTCGGTCGCTGGCGGTCTTGGCGTCAGCTGAGTTAAGACCTGCCATTTGCGAATAGCGCCCCCTGTAAAAATGAGAAAATATGTCCAGTAGTGATAGATTCCTTTTAAAACCAAGAAGGGGATTTTTGTTTTTTTAAATGAAGCAAATGGAAGAGACCCGTCGGTTCTTCGAATTGGCGGGCGGACCCAGATGTAAACAGAACATGGCAATGCCAAGTTGAGTATGATAAGGTGTTGTACCAAGTTGGAATCAGGTGAGCCTTAGTTGAGTCATCCAAAACCTGGCACAGTTATTGAAGTTGGTTCGCCCAAAGGCAAAGAAATCAAGTGGAAATCTGCACCTATAAAGGGCGACCCCTTAACCTTCATCTACCCGGGTTTTGATTGTGGCCCATCTGGAGATTCCGCACTTTGACAAAAGCGCGCTCAAGCCAGGCGCGAGCAGATAGCACCAAACCAGCGACCATCAAGATGGCCAAGTCGGAGTCATTTGGCAGCCAAATTGGTTGGCTTTACATTGTGAACGTCTCTTTCTGGTTCCTCCGTCGCATCCCATGTCAGGTTTCCTGGTCAGGACCGTCCCCGCTTGGGAAGCGGGTCCTGTGAGCGCCAAGACCTGGAGCTGCCAAGCTTTACCAAAATGCTGCGAGCCCCGCAACTTGGTTGACGTTGGAAGGGGAGCAATAATTTATTTTTTAGCAGTTAAGTGGTTGGATTTCAACCACAAAACCACAATTTGCGCAACAAATGTTTCAAATGTTTCCCAACAATAACAACCATGCCAAAAAGGCGTTTTTTTGTTTGCCCAGGGCCTGTCGCGCCCGTAGGCCCGAAACAAAAATGACTCATCAGCTATGATTGGGGAACGCGCGTAGGCAATCCGGCCAACGTTTGCTTTTTGATCGGATGCGAGCACAGGTGTCCTTTTTGGAAAATAGATGGCCCTAATAGATGATTGAACCACCAGGTAAACCAGGAATCGCCCTCTATTTTTGTCAGCAAACCAACCAAAAAGGACACCTATACCCAGAAACCAAAATGACTCATGATCAGGCAACCAGTTCAGCTATGAGTGGGGAACGCGCGCAAATCCGGGCTTGAACCAGCCCACTCTCAAAATAGGAGAGCCTTTCAAATTGGTGGTGTCCCTCAAGCATTTCCCTTTACTCAAGCCACCCACTCGGATGCGAGACGCAGGATGGAGTTGAAGAGGATGGAGTCAGGGTAGATGCCCTGGCTCTGCATCTGCCCCAGCAGCATGATGGCCGTCTCCAGGTCGCCGGCGCTGCTGAAGCCTCGCGGGCGGGGTATCCAACCAAAAGGGCTGGGGTTTACAGGGGGAGCCAGAAAACACACACACACACCCACACACACACGCATTTGTTTGGGCTTGCTGGAACCCCCCCCCCGTTTTAAAGGGGAGCCAGAGAAAAAACAAACACAGATTTGGTTGTGGCTTGCTGGATAAAACAACAGGCACCCACAGTCTGCTTTTTGTTTTGGGGAAGGGGAACCCCAATTGTTGTTACCTCTCAGTTGACCATTCACGCGGGTCCCGCCCATTTGAGGATGGAACACGTTGAGCGGCCCCTCTGGCTTTTGCGGAAGTTTTGGGTCCTATGTCCTCTCGAAACCAACAGTGGGCTTCCCATAACGCTTGTCAATTGATCTAAGTTTGTGAGGTCGAAAAGCAGCTACCAAGCGCTTTGTCACAGCTCATCCTTCAGCACTGCTCATCTCACATCGACGCACCTTGAACAACAAATCCTTGGCCAAGCATGGTACGAAGCACCAAACATATGGTGGCACGAGCTTTCATAGACTCAAAAACAAACAAGGATCGCAGAATCATCTGCTGGATTCCTCGCCACAGTTGAACGGTTGGCCTCAAGTGACATACTCGCCACTTGCCCCAGCCACTGCAATGCAGAAAATCCCGCGGCCTTTGATGAGGATGGAGAAGGTGATCAGGTCTGGTCCTGACAGCGAAGGAGATTGGAATTCACCAAGCATGAAGGCTCCCCAGCCCACCACCCCCAGCCCCCAACCACCCCCCAACCCCCAACCCCCTCCCCCAACCTCCCCCATGAAAGTCGGCCGCATGGAGGGCGTAAACCCGATTGGTGTGTCGCTGAAAAAAGCCACCAGGCAGTCATCCACGCTCGGCGTGGAATGCCCCTACCCGAACCCAGAAACAATACCCCAGCCATGGGGAGGGAAGGGCTCCATTGGCATCACAGAAAGTGGACTTGCAATTTAAAAACACCACATTTACCATGAGCGTTCATCCAGCCAAACACCTGACCGTCAGGTTCGCACACGTGTATTCAATCCGTCATTTTGTTTTGTAGATTGTGTCTTATTCCCCTTGAACCCCCCCAAAACCCAAAATAGCAAACCACCAATCCAAACCACCAAATAAGCTTAACCCGATGACAGGTTCCTTCACGGTCCATGGCCAGTGGAGCGCAGGGGCCCAGACACCTGCGCCTGTTTCCCAGCCAAGTGTTTTGACCTGAAAATGAGGACAAATCGCCTGCAGGTGGGCAAATCTGAAGACCAAAAAGAAGACGCCCGTGTGAGACCCTCCTGGCCTTTTCTTGCCGTCACCTAGATGTAAAGAACATCCCGGCTGGCTAAGCTTCATGCGGACACGTGAGATTCGAAAACTGCCCTACGGCAGGTGCTAACCAGCCCGACACGAAGCCCATGCAGAAATTGCTCAATATCAATCAAGACTTGTCGTTACCGTGCAAATCGTCCTCCAGCGACAAACAGATCAAAAGGCTAGGCCTCAAGCCAAGATCACCCACCCACCACCTAGCCCCCCCCCCCCGGGCCAAGATGGGTGTGTCTCAAAATAGGGGCTTCAAAGAATGTTTAGTTTCTTTTGGTTAAAAATGGGTATCCTAACTTTGAGACACATTCAAATATTCATACAGGGTTGTTCAAAACTAAAGGGTTCGATACCCTGATCCCTTCAAAACGAGGTGCCACTAGAAGGGATCCGAACAAGCATCCGCTTTATGAACAACCCTCATTCAAGTAAGAGTTTGATTTGGGGTTGTCCACCATTGAAATCCAAGGCCTGAAATTCATTCATGTCCAGGGCGTGAATTTCAAAACACCCCCACATATTTTGTGAACTTCAAAACCGACCCCAGGGTGGGTCTTTCTTTGTTTCCTAGGGTCGCGAAAATTTCCCCCCTTCAGAGGTTGATCCATTTACAGGTGGTTTCACCGCAAAAAAATGCGCCACTTTGTGTGGTTCCAAGAAGGACATGGAGGAAATCCTGTTTACCAACCAAGAAACAGAAGAGGTGAAACCGCGCCTGCATCCTGCAAGGCCATGTCTCGGAAGAGGTCCATGGCGCGCTTTAGGTCCCCCCCACGCACCAGCGCCTGAGGGCATGATGACAGTGGGGGGGGGGGGGTGAGGGAAGGAGGAAGATGATGAGGGACATCCATGTGTGCACGGGACGGGTTGCAGCGGCAGTTGGCCACGAGGCGCGGTGGGGGAAAAGGGAGGGGTTCGAAATGAGCGCTCCGAAGTCTATTTCAAGGACTTTTTGGACGAGTGGCAAGGGACATGTCAGTGCTTCCTTGGTTGGTGGTTTGGATTGGAGGTCTGGATTTGGATTTGACCCCCTGGTTCTGGTAGATGGGAAACTCTCTCGAACCACGCCGCCAATCCAAACCAACGAGAGCTGAGAGAGTGCCAGGCTCGGCCTTGCCTCTTTCGCCAGCCCAAAGATTAGATTTTTGCAGGGGGTTCTGGAGGAAAATGAGAAGAGACCTACCTAGAGTCTCCTTCTGACCCTTTAACAATGGGTCATTGACCCCATTATTTTGGGTAATGACCCCATTTGTTAAGGGTCATGGAGACTCCAGGTACTTGGAAAAAAAGAGAGAGGCCACGTCGATGTGTCTTGTGATTTCTTTCAACCGGCCAAATGGATGGAGTTCCTTCCAAAAGAAAAGAAGCGAGCAAAATCCCCAAACCACCAATCCAAACCAGCAATCAAGCAAAAGCCGAAAACATCTGAAAACGTTTCTTGGCGCTCGTCAAACCGGATGAGGGGTTCCTCAAAACAAAGCAAAAGACGAGGGCACGTCGATGAGGGTGTTGTAGGTCACCAGGCTCAGCCTCAGCACCTCCCGCGTCTCCTCGTAGAGCCTGAAAGCTGGACGGCACCCCCGTCCCAGCACAAAAATGACAAATCCACTCACCTCGGACGCGAGTGGATGGCCCAAAAAGAGGAACCCACCTGTTTGTTGCCACTAAAATGGACCAAACCCAAAAAGTGACTAAAGAAATGACAAGTCAACCCACCTGGGAAGCGAGTGGATGGCAACCAAAACAAGCTCCACCAAACCTGGGCTGTCCTCGGATCCCCTGCGAAAGGTTGAACTTTGAGTGAGTCAAATGGAAACTACCACTAAACACTAAAAGACTAAAAAGCTAAGCGACTGGCTGGGAGCCACCAAGAAACTGTTGGTTTGCCACCAAAATGGTGGCAACCCAAAACGTGACGAAAGTCAAGGAACGCAGGAAGTGAGAATAACAGCGGGTTCTCCTGCTGTACACCACTCAAACCCCGAAAAAAATATCATGTTCAACGGGGCCGCCTGTTTTTAGTCCGCCTTTTCGGATATGTCAATTTGCAGGGGATCCTTGGTCCTCCTGCAAGAAGGATACTTTAGCTGGGGAATCGAATTCGCAACTGCCATTTGCCTAATCCCCCTGGAAAACAGAAAAAGTATTTCCAGTAGTGATAGATTCCCTCGAAAACCAACAGGGGAAAACAAAAACCAAAAAAAAAGCAAATGGAAGACAAGGGTTTTATGTCCACCCAGCGATGTCCATGAAAACAGATAGCCATGTCAATTTGCAGAGGAGTACTTGTCCAAGACCGCAGCTCAATCCACAATAGTCCAAGAGCCCTTTCTCTTCGGAAAATGAAGTAGCAGACCCCCCCAAAGTCTCAGAGTCCTACAAGTCCCACAAACATGAAAGTGCTGGGCTGTGTTTAGATCCCCTGCTAAAAGCAACACTTTTAGGGGTGAAATGGAAACCCAGCCACAAACCCAGCCACTAAACCCAAAAAGCCTAAATGGACGGCTGGAAAACCGCCATGAAAGTGCACATGCTTTTCCAAGTAGGGTCGTCTCTGCATTTCCACAGCTCTGACCAAGCGGATTGAAGATGAAAAGGCCTTGTTTTGCCCTGTTGCAACTGTTGCACGCCTGATCAGGTCCAAACCTCAGAAAAAGACGGCCCATGCGAACCCGAGGATCTTGGAACTTGGAAGGCAAATTCCCCTTCTTGCAGATGTGAATTTGTAGTCCCTAAACAGTTCCATAGGTTCCGGGCAACCGAGGCTCATTTTTTGCCAAAGTGTGTCCAACTTGCGCGCCGAAAACCCGGCAACTCACGTGGCTGTCAAGGTTAATATCGGCCTTACTATCACCTTTATGAACCCAAGCGGTGGAACCGCTACATACTACCAGTACCGGCAACATGGTTTAGGTCTACCCTGCTTGCAAAAACAATACACCTCTTCTACCACCGGGTTCCCCGCCCTGGACGTGGACCGCGCAGTTCGGACCCCTGGTGCTTGGTCGGTACCTTTCTGTACTGGGGAAACAAAACCTGAAAACCCATCTCAAAAAGAGAATCAACGGAAAAACGACCCATGTTGGAGGCCTCAGGACTTCTTAACGAAGATCGAGCCATGCGTTTTGCAGACTCCGGTGTCTTTGAAACCTCGCCAAAAATAAAGGGAGGGTCTAGAAAATCACCCCACCAAACATGGAAGAAGGCCCTCCATCAACGGAAAAAACAACCACCAAACATGGAGAAGGCCCTTCCACGGGGAAAAACAGCAAAAACAAAAAGCCAAAAAAAAACAAGCAAAACAAACACATAATATGTATGTATACATACATAACATGTTTGCGGTTTATTTACAAACAAAGCAAAAACCAAATTAAATAGCTCATATATATATATATATAGCTTTGTATAAACTCCCAAAAGCAAACCTCGAGCTGTCCCGAGGGGTATCGAGCCGTCCGTCCACTCGAGGCGCTCCAGGGCCATGTCCAGCTGCTGCAGCTGCACCGCCGCCTTGGTGGCCAGGCTGAAGGCCACCGTGGCCCGCGGGAAGCCCCGCAGCACCCGCCGCGCCTCCTGGCGCGGCAAGGAGCTTCGAGGTGGCTGGGACCCGGGGAACCGAAAAAAGGGAAACCGAAGAGAAACCGAAAAATGCAAAAACAAAAAAAAAGGAAACTAAGCGAAACCAAAAAAAAAAAGGGAACCGAAAAAAGGGTAAACCCGAAGGGAAATCGAAGGGAAACCGCAGGGAAACCGAAGGGAAATCGAAGGGAAACCGCAGGGAAGCCGAAGGGAAGCCGAAGGGAAATCGAAGGGAAGCCAAAGGGAAGTCGAAGGGAAACCGAAGGGAAGCCGAAGGGAAATCGAAGGGAAACCGAAGGGAAGCCGAAGGGAAATCGAAGGGAAACCGCAGGGAAACCGAAGGGAAATCGAAGGGAAACCGCAGGGAAGCCGAAGGGAAGCCGAAGGGAAATCGAAGGGAAGCCAAAGGGAAGTCGAAGGGAAACCGAAGGGAAGCCGAAGGGAAATCGAAGGGAAACCGAAGGGAAGCCGAAGGGAAATCGAAGGGAAGCCGAAGGGAAACTCGAAGGGAAACCGAAGGGAAGCCGAAGGGAAGCCGAAGGGAAACCCGAAGAGAAGCCGAAGGGAAGCCGAAGGGAAATCGAAGGGAAGCCGAAGGGAAATCGAAGGGAAACCGAAGGGAAGCCGAAGGGAAATCGAAGGGAAACCAAAGGGAAGCCGAAGGGAAGCCGAAGGGAAATCGAAGGGAAACCGAAGGGAAGCCGAAGGGAAATCGAAGGGAAACCGCAGGGAAACCGAAGGGAAATCGAAGGGAAACCGCAGGGAAGCCGAAGGGAAGCCGAAGGGAAATCGAAGGGAAGCCAAAGGGAAGTCGAAGGGAAACCGAAGGGAAGCCGAAGGGAAATCGAAGGGAAACCGAAGGGAAGCCGAAGGGAAATCGAAGGGAAGCCGAAGGGAAACTCGAAGGGAAACCGAAGGGAAGCCGAAGGGAAGCCGAAGGGAAACCCGAAGAGAAGCCGAAGGGAAGCCGAAGGGAAATCGAAGGGAAGCCGAAGGGAAATCGAAGGGAAACCGAAGGGAAGCCGAAGGGAAATCGAAGGGAAACCAAAGGGAAGCCGAAGGGAAGCCGAAGGGAAATCGAAGGGAAACCGAAGGGAAGCCGAAGGGAAATCGAAGGGAAACCGCAGGGAAACCGAAGGGAAATCGAAGGGAAACCGAAGGGAAGCCGAAGGGAAATCGAAGGGAAACCGAAGGGAAGCCGAAAGCCGAAGAAGCCGAAGGGAAAGGGAAATCGAAGGGAAACCGAAGAAGGGAAACCGCCGGGAAGGGATCGAAGGGAAACCGAAGGGAATCGAAGGGAAACCGAAGGGAAGCCGAAGGGAAATCGAAGGGAAACCGAAGGGAAGCCGAAGGGAAATCGAAGGGAAACCGAAGGGAAACCGCAGGGAAATCGAAGGGAAACCGAAGGGAAGCCGAAGGGAAATCGAAGGGAAACCGAAGGGAAGCCGAAGTCGAAGGGAAACCGAAGGGAAACCGCAGGGAAACCGAAGGGAAATCGAAGGGAAACCGAAGGGAAACCGAAGGGAAGCCAAAGGGAAATCGAAGGGAAACCGAAGGGAAGCCGAAGGGAAATCGAAGGGAAACCGAAGGGAAACCGAAGGGAAGCCGAAGGGAAAACGAAGGGAAACCGCAGGGAAACCGAAGGGAAATCGAAGGGAAACCGAAGGGAAACCGAAGGGAAGCCGAAGGGAAATCGAAGGGAAACCGCAGGGAAACCGAAGGGAAACCGAAGGGAAACGAAGGTGGATAGCCGAAGGAAATCCGAAGGGAACCGGCCAGGGGAAACCGAAGGGAAATCGAAGGGAAGCCGAAGGGAAGCCGAAGGGAAATCGAAGGGAAACCGAAGGGAAGCCGAAGGGAAATCGAAGGGAAACCGAAGGGAAGCCGAAGGGAAATCGAAGGGAAAGCCGAAGGGAAATCGAAGGGAAATCGAAGGGAAACCGCAGGGAAACCGAAGGGAAATCGAAGGGAAACCGAAGGGAAGCCGAAGGGAAATCGAAGGGAAACCGAAGGGAAGCCGAAGGGAAATCGAAGGGAAACCGAAGGGAAACCGAAGGGAAATCGAAGGGAAACCGAAGGGAAGCCGAAGGGAAATCGATTGGAAACCGAAGGGAAGCCGAAGGGAAGCCGAAGGGAAATCGAAGGGAAGCCGAAGGAAAATCGAAGGGAAACCGAAGGGAAGCCGAAGGGAAATCGAAGGAAAACCGAAGGGAAGCCGAAGGGAAATCGAAGGGAAACCGAAGGGAAACCAAAGGGAAATCGAAGGGAAACCGAAGGGAAGCCGAAGGGAAATCATCGAAGGGAAACCGAAGGGAAGCCGAAGGGAAATCGAAGGGAAACCGAAGGGAAGCCGAAGGGAAATCGAAGGGAAACCGAAGGGAAGCCGAAGGGAAATCGAAGGCAAACCGAAGGGAAACCGAAGGGAACTCGAAGGGAAACCGAAGGGAAGCCGAAGGGAAATCGAAGGGAAACCGAAGGGAAGCCGAAGGGAAATCGAAGGGAAACCGAAGGAAGCCGAAGGGAAATCGAATAGAAACCGGAAACGAATCGAAGGGAAAGGGAAAAGGGAACGAAGGGAAGCGAAGGGAAATCGAAGGGAAAAACGAAACCTTGGACCGGGGAAATAGAGGGAAATCGAAGGGAAACCGAAGGGAAGCCGAAGGGAAATCGAAGGGAAACCGAAGGGAAGCCGAAGATAAATCGAAGGGAAACCGAAGGGAAGCCGAAGGGAAATCGAAGGGAAACTGAAGGGAAGCCGAAGGGAAATCGAAGGGAAACCGAAGGGAAGCCGAAGGGAAATCGAAGGGAAACCGAAGGGAAGCCGAAGGGAAATCGAAGGGAAACCGAAGGGAAGCCGAAGGGAAATCGAAGAGAAACCGAAGGGAAATCGAAGGGAAACCGAAGGGAAACCGAAGGGAAGCCGAAGGGAAATCGAAGGGAAACCGAAGGGAAGCCGAAGGGAAATCGAAGGGAAACCGAAGGGAAGCCGAAGGGAAATCGAAGGGAAACCGAAGGGAAGCCGAAGGGAAATCGAAGGGAAACCGAAGGGAAGCCGAAGATAAATCGAAGGGAAACCGAAGGGAAGCCGAAGGGAAATCGAAGGGGGAAGCCGACGAAGGGAAACCGAAGGGAAGCCGAAGATAAATCGAAGGGAAACCGAAGGGAAGCCGAAGGGAAATCGAAGGGAAACCGAAGGGAAGCCGAAGGGAAATCGAAGGGAAACCGAAGGGAAGCCGAAGGGAAATCGAAGGGAAACCGAAGGGAAGCCGAAGGGAAATCGAAGGGGAAGGGAAGCCGAAGGGAAATCGAAGGGAAACCGAAGGGAAGCCGAAGGGAAATCGAAGGGAAACCGAAGGGAAGCCGAAGGGAAATCGAAGGGAAACCGAAGGGAAGCCGAAGGGAAATCGAAGGGAAACCGAAGGGAAGCCGAAGGGAAAAGGGAAATCGAAGGGAAACCGAAGGGAAGCCGAAGGGAAATCGAAGGGAAACCGAAGGGAAGCCGAAGGGAAGCCGAAGGGAAATCGAAGGGACCGAAGGGAAGCCTCGAAGGGAAACCGAAGGGAAGCCGAAGGGAAGCCGAAGGGAAACCTGAGGGAAACCGAAGGGAAGCCGAAGGGAGGCCGAAGGGAAACCTGAGGGAAACCGAAGGGAAACCGAAGGGAAATCGAAGGGAAACCGAAGGGAAGCCGAAGGGAAATCGAAGGGAAACCGAAGGGAAGCCGAAGGGAAGCCGAAGAGAAACCGAAGGGAAACCTGAGGGAAACCGAAGGGAAGCCGAAGGGAAGCCGAAGGGAAACCTGAGGGAAACCGAAGGGAAGCCGAAGGGAAGCCGAAGGGAAACCTGAGGGAAACCGAAGGGAAGCCGAAGGGAAGCCGAAGGGAAACCCGAAGGGAAGCCGAAGGGAAACCCGAAGAGAAACCGAAGGGAAACCCGAAGAGAAACCGAAGGGAAACCCGAAGAGAAACCGAAGGGAAACCGAAGGGAAACCGAAGGGAAACCCGAAGAGAAACCGAAGGGAAACCCGAAGAGAAACCGAAGGGAAACCCGAAGAGAAACCGAAGGGAAACCCGAAGAGAAACCGAAGGGAAACCCGAAGAGAAACCGAAGGGAAACCCGAAAAGAAACCGAAGGGAAACCCGAAGAGAAACCGAAGGGAAACCCGAAGAGAAACCGAAGAAATACCGAAGGGAAACCCGAAGAGAAACCGAAGGGAAACCCGAAGAGAAACCGAAGGGAAACCGAAGGGAAACCGAAGAGAAACCGAAGGGAAAACGAAGGGAAACCCGAAGAGAAACCGAAGAGAAACCGAAGGGAAGCCGAAGGGAAGCCGAAGGGAAATCGAAGGGAAACCGAAGGGAAGCCGAAGGGAAGCCGAAGGGAAACCGAAGGGAAGCCGAAGGGAAGCCGAAGGGAAACCGAAGGGAAGCCGAAGGGAAGCCGAAGGGAAACCCGAAGAGAAACCGAAGGGAAAACGAAGGGAAACCCGAAGAGAAACCGAAGAGAAACCGAAGGGAAGCCGAAGGGAATCCGAAGGGAAACCCGAAGAGAAACCGAAGGGAAGCCGAAGGGAAGCCGAAGGGAAACCCGAAGAGAAACCGAAGGGAAGCCGAAGGGAAGCCGAAGGGAAACTCGAAGAGAAACCGAAGGGAAACCCGAAGAGAAACCGAAGGGAAACCCGAAGAGAAACCGAAGGGAAACCCGAAGAGAAACCGAAGGGAAAAACCCGAAGAGAAACCGAAGGGAAACCCGAAGAGAAACCGAAGGGAAACCCGAAGAGAAACCGAACGGAAACCCGAAGAGAAACCGAAGGGAAACCCGAAGAGAAACCGAAGGGAAGCCGAAGGGAAGCCGAAGGGAAACCCGAAGAGAAACCGAAGGGAAAACGAAGGGAAACTCGAAGAGAAACCGAAGAGAAACCGAAGGAAAGCCGAAGGGAAGCCGAAGGGAAACCCGAAGAGAAACCGAAGGGAAGCCGAAGGGAAGCCGAAGGGAAACCCGAAGAGAAACCGAAGGGAAACCCGAAGAGAAACCGAAGGGAAACCCGAAGAGAAACCGAAGGGAAACCCGAAGAGAAACCGAACGGAAACCCGAAGAGAAACCGAAGGGAAACCCGAAGAGAAACCGAAGGGAAACCGAAGGGAAACCGAAGGGAAACCGAAGAGAAACCGAAGGGAAACCTAAGGAGAACCGAAGGGAAAGCGAAGGGAATCCGAAGAGAAACCGAAGGGAAACCGAAGGGAAACCGAAGGGAGCCCGAAGGGAATCCGAAGAGAAACCGAAGGGAAACCGAAGAGAAACCGAAGGGAATCCGAAGGGAAATCGGAAGGGAATCCGAAGAGAAACCGAAGGGAAACCGAAGGGAAACCGAAGGGAAACCGAAGAAATTCCGAAGAGAAACCGAAAGGAAACCGAACGGAAACCGCAGGGAAACCGAAGGGAAACCGAAGGGAAACCGAAGGGAAACCTAAGGGAAGCCGAAGGGAAACCGAAGGGAAACCAAAGCGAAACCCAAGGGAAATCGAAGGGACCCGAAGGGAAACCGAAGGGAAACCGACGGGAAACCTATCGGAAACCGAACGGAAACCGAAGGGAAACCGAAGGGAAACCTAAAGACAGCCGAAGAAAAACCGAAGGGAAACCGAAGGGCAACCGATGGGAAACCGAAGGAAAACCGAAGGGAAACCGTAGCCGGTTGGCGCGGCAAGCTCTTCCGAATGTTGTCGCTTCGCGCGTTTCTTCTTTTTGCTTCTTTCGCTATTCGCACACGATGGGCTCAAAGGGTGAAACGTGCGGCAACTCGTCGCGCTTCAGCGCTGCCAAATTCGCTTCGAAGCACTGCTGCACGTGCTGCAGCCGGGACATTTTGCCACGCAGCCGGAGGGTTTCGTCCCACAACGGGTGTAAAATGAGCGCGTTCATTGGCAGCGGCTTGGTTCTGCCAACCAGTGAAACTCGCACACGCTCGCCCAACTCCTGGCGAGCAAAATAGACTACTTCGTCCCAGCTAATTGGAAAGCCCCAGCGACTTCCTCCGCTGCGCCCTTTCAGAACGCGCTCTCCTGGCACCATCGAGCAATAACAGCCTTGAGCGTTTGTCTTGAACAGCCCGCGCCTCCCAGTGTGAAGAAAACGGCGTCGAATTGGGCATGCCCTTCTTCAGACACAAAGAAAGACAGGTCGCACTGCAAAAGCTTCACCGGATACGCCCAGAGCCTGAGTGTGACAGTGGCTCAAATGATGACGCTCGCAACGTCTGTCTGAGATCACGACGGGCACGACGTCATGGTAAAACGCGAGCCGAAGCAACGTTTGGGCTGCGAAAAGCTGCGAACGAGGAGCGGTCGTTCAAACTTCGAACTTCGCCTGTTCAGACAAGCGAGCGATCTTCCTCAACAACTTTGCGGGTGCGTGGCGCCAAGCTTTTGTTTCGCAGAAGAATTGTTCGGCAGTTGGCTCGCTTCAAAAGAAAGGGACCGGGGCGTTCTCTTCTGCAAAACTACAATATTCTTTCGTAAGAGCGAGATTTTGGCGGAATGAGTCGCTTCAAGAGAAGAGGGGCCGAGCAACGGTTTCCGCGAAAAAAAACGCGATCTTGCGATGTTTCTGCTTCAAAGAAAACGGACCAGGCGGTTTGTTCTCTTGGCAAACAACATTGCTTCGCGTGATTATTTTTTGCGGTAAGTTCTTTGCTTCGCAAGACAAGGGCCGGGCAAGTCTTCTCTGCGCTTCGCGTTTTCCACCAAGGAGTTATAGCGTATAATTGCAGAAGTAAAACGCAAACTATTCAACGCTCTCTTTCGCTGCTTCAAAAGAAAGGGGACCGCTCGCGCCGGCAAAAATTGCCTCGCGGTTTTTCTGCTTCGGGGGCAAGGCCACGCTCTGAACAACAAACACCGACTGGCTTTGCGCAAACATTTGCTTAATGTTTCCTGCGTCACAAGAAAGGCCTGTTTCGCGAGAGCAGCGCCCTTCACCGCGCGCTTTTTTCGCTCACACGCGCCGCCACTCTTCGGTGGCGGGGTTCCAGTGCCAGAAGCCCCTGACTCTCTTGTCGCAAGCCGCCCGGCATCTGAGCTTCTGGCGGACTTCGATCTCGTTGAGATGGCTGCTGGGGTTCGGCTTGAAAATTGCCTCAACCCAGCAGCCATCTCCCACCAGCGCCTGCTGCCTTGGACGACGCCGTGTTATCGCGAGAAGAACGAGTCTAAGCGCTGCGCAAGAAAGCCACGCCGTTGGGCTGGCGAAGCTGCTCGCCTTTGAAGGCGCGCGCTCAAGTCAAGAACACGCGCACGCAGCCCCGCTCAGGCCAGCGCAACATGGCGCATTGATCTTCGCGTATCCGTTGGGCATCCTGCGCCAGCGTCGCTTGCGAAAAAAACAAGGCGGCCGGGCGCCTGGCCTTGGATGAAAGCAAAGATCCCTTGAAGCGGTTTGAGCGCTGGAGCTGCGAGCAGAGAACAAATCATTGTGAGGGTGGAGGGGGTGAGTCATTGCAAAAGATCAAGGCTTCTTTTGGCAGAAGTTTTACCTGGGCCAACTCACAAAATTCCAGCCATTCTTGATCAGAACACATTTTCCATTTTTTTGCATTTGGATCGCGCTGGTTTTTGACGGCTTCAAAAGAAAGCGCTGGCTGCGAGATGCCTCGGTCGAGCAATCGCAAAGAAAAAATGTTTGCGACAAGTTGTCCGAAGCCTCCGCCATGATCAAGTTGGCAACGACCACAGAAAATCCTGATCACCGAAGAGAAACCGAAGGGAAGCCGAAGGGAAACCGAAGGGAAACCGAAGGGAAACCGAAGGAAAACCGAAGGAAAACCGAAAGGAAAACCGAAGGGAAACCGAAGGAAACCGAAGGGAAACCTGAGGGAAACCGAAGAGAAACCGAAGGGAAACCTAAAGGAAACCAAAGGGAAACCGCAGGGAATCCAAAGGGAAACCTAAAGACAGCCGAAGAGAAATCGCAGGTAAACCGAAGAGAAAACCCGAAGGGAAACCGAAGGGAAACCGAAGGGAAACCTAACGTATAAGGGAAACCTAAGGGAAACCAAAGGGAAACCTCAGAGAAACCGAAGGGAAACCGAAGGGAAACCGAAGGGAAACCGAAGGGAAACCGAAGGAAAACCGAAGGGAAACCTGAAGGGAAACCGAAGAAGAACCGAAGGGAAACCGAAGGGAAACCGAAGGGAAACCGAAGGGAAATCGAAGGGAATCCTAAGGGAAACCGAAGGGAAACCTACCTGGAGTCTCCATGACCCTTAAAAATGGGGTCATTACCCAAAATAATGGGGTCAATGACCCATTTTTAAAGGGTCATGGAGACTCTAGGTAGGGAAACCTAAACGAAGCCGAAGGGAAACCTGAGGGAAACCGAAGGGAAACCCGAAGGAAAACCCGAAGGAAAACCGGAGGGAAACCGAAGGGAAACCGAAGGGAAACCGAAGAGAAACCGAAGGGAATCCGAAGGGAAACCGAAGGGAATCCGAAGAGAAACCGAAGGGAAACCGAAGGGAAACCGAAGAGAAACCGAAGGGAAACCCGAAGAGAAACCGAAGGGAAACCGAAGGGAAACCGAAGGGAAACCGAAGGGAAACCTAAGGGAAACCGAAGGGAAACCGAAGGGAAACCGAAGGGAAACCGAAGGGAAACCTAAGGGAAACCGAAGGGAAACCGAAGGGAAACCGAAGGGAATCCGAAGAGAAACCGAAGGGAAACCGAAGGGAAACCGAAGGGAAACCGAAGGGAAAGCGAAGGGATTCCGAAGAGAAACCGAAGAGAAACCGAAGGGAAACCTAAGGGAAACCGAAGGGAATCCGAAGAGAAACCAAAGGGAAACCGAAGGGAAACCGAAGGGAAACTGAAGGGAAACTGAAGGGAAACTGAAGGTAAACCGAAGGGAAACCGAAGGGAAACCTGAGGGAAACCGAAGGGAAACCGAAGGGAAACCGAAGGGACACCTCCTACGAAAAAATTGAAGGGAAAACAAAAGGTTTAACCACCATGAACCAGCCACTTCCTCCTTTTTCCGTGTAGAACAAGCCCCACGCAAAAGATGCGAGCACAAAAAAGAAACAAGAGTGATAGATAGATTGCCATTAAAACAAACAGGGGAAGAGCAAATGGAAGCAGCAAACGGTTCAAGGGCCATACCCCTGACATACCCCAAAAATGGTAGGTCCATTCACATTGGCCCGAATCTTAGGTTTGTTTGGTGGAAAATGTGTTTAAAGAGACACCAGAAATCCGAAGTGCAGGGGATAAAACGAGTCCCACATCTGAAGAGAAAAACCGGAAAGGCGCAAGAGTGGGGAAATATGGGGGGGTGTTTGTTTCTGGCTGGTGCGATAAGCAGGGAATGAGAGAATGAACCCAGGGATTCCCTCAAAGGAAGCCACAAGATGGATGGTTTATAGAGGTCATTCCATTTCTCATTCCCTGCCACCAACAAGTTGCGGTTGCTTTCTGCTCCCCTGCAAAAAGTTAACTTTTGGTGGTTTAATGGAAACTCAATAGTTGGCAAAAAGTTAAAGTCCTAACATCCAAGCAAAATGCACCATGGATTGTTTATAGGCCTGCCACCAACGAGAGTTTCTTTGCGCCCACCTGGAAGACTCGGAGCAAGGAGTGCAGATCAGAGCTGGCGAGGCACGCGTCCACCATGCTCATGAAGATGTCCTCACGGGACGGCGGAGCAAGTAGCTTTCCTTTTGGCTTCCCTTCAAAATGAAAGAAAAAGCACACCCTCAAACAAATACACACCCATATGAATGTCTCTAGGGGTACTCAAAAATTGTGGGTCTACGAGTCTTTGGTTTCCTTCTTGCTTAAGGGGTTCGGTTGACCCAGAGGAACGGAACTTCCACTCTGCAAGCCGAAAGGCTTCTTCGCCACAGGAGTCGCGAAACCGACTCCCCTCTGATTTGCTCCAAGCAAAACACGGCAGCCCTTGATCAGCCGCAAGAGTTGTCACTTCTTGAAGCGACACACTCTCTTTGAGGAGAACATGTCTGTACAGTAACAAAACATTGCCAGTCGAGCGTGTCTGAACTGAATATCTTCACGGATCAGGCAGGTCAAAATGACTTACGGAGTTGTTCGTCCAGTTGCGTCTTCAACATCTTCCTCCAAACAACCACCCGCAACGCCTTGATCCAACTCACTCTCTGTAACTCTCGCTGGTTCGCAGCAGGGGAATGAGGGAACGACCACGAGAAACACCATCCCCGCTCTGGGTTCTTTTGGTCAGATCTTCAAAACCGGTTCATTCATTCGCAACACTCTAGGGGTTGATTCCCATTCTTTTCAACCATCGCTCTTTTCAAAAACCAGATCCGTTTCCCCCGGGTTTTGGGTGGTTTCCTGAAAAGATTCGGATCCCTGGAAAGAATGGACATGGAAGGTACCCCTAGAAAGCAATCCAGCTGTTCCCCCAGGGTGTTGGGTGGTTTTTTAGAAAGAAGGATCCCTGGAAAGCACGCACATGGAAGGTACCCCTGGAAACACCTTGTTGCTGTTGACCCCTTAGCAAAAAGTGAATAATTGTTTGTGGGTTTAGTGGAAAACCCCAAATGATTTCAACCATAAAGTTAAAGTCTAAAGATCCAACCCAATAGTCAAGAAACACCTGGAGACTCCTTCAATCACCTCTCCCTATCGCCCGCGAAGGCACCCGGCCCAACCGGCTCCTCCGTGAGCGCCCGGTCATCCCGCAGCAGCTGCCGCCACAGCGCCCAGGCTTCCTGAGGTCGCCCCAAAACATCCAGCAGCCCCAAAACCTCCGGAGGGGGGTGGCGCAAAACGAGCAGGGTTATGCGGGTCTTTGTCTTTTCCAGAAAAAACAAGGCTCGTCTACCCACTGGCCCACCATCCTTCACTTAAGGACTCCGAAGGCTAGCTCAGTGGGGTCATTGCCATTTCATCTTAAACAAAAATCAAGAGGTGAAGCAGATATGGATTTCTGGTAGCCGAGAACAACAAATCTCCCATGCCAGAGGCAAGAATCTCCAGGAACGGGCCTTGCCCTCCCCCCACCAAGGATGCCGGATCCCCATTTTCCCGCAGCCACGGGAAAGCGCTGGTCTTGCCAAGGTCAAGAAAGACAGCCAAAGGTATGTTCAAACTCTCCGGCGATGGAGAAACAGCTCCAGAAAAAACATCTCCTGCATGGAGAACATTCATCGCCAAACCCACGGAATCTGAGAACCCAGAAATTTTTGGGAAGAGCACATGAGCAAACTGAATTGAGCTGAAAGGCAGGTGGTCTGGCGTTCCCAAATTCTTGGCCTTCACTTGGGCAAGATTCCTCCCTGAATCCAACCTCGGAAGTCGCCTTCCAATTCCTTGAGAGCCCATTCAAAGACTAGCCCCGACGGTCCCGGGAAACAGAAACGAAGCTGCAGTTGCAATCGTCAGTGTCCGCTAAGTGGTTTTTCACTTGGCCAGATGTACCCGGAAAATCATATGGTCAGAGCTTGTGTCATATTTTGTCTGCCCCAAAACGCGGAAAGTTGTCTTGAAAGCTCTCGCCGAGCGTCGTCCATCCTGAGGGCGTGCCCATGGGCCCGCATCAGCATCACGCAAGCCTCAGCCAACTTGGGGATGATCCGGAAAAATCCGACGCCCAATCCGGGGAATCCTTGAGGGTGTCAACCTTCGAGTGGTGTTCGCCTCACGGAGCAAAACATGCGCCGGGCAAGCCCGCGACAGGACCAGCTCGGAGCCGGATCCGAACCCCGCGACCGGCTTCGAGCTCGACACTCGATCAGCTTCCCTCGGAGCCCGGGGGTTTGGAGCTGTGGCTAGGGGGTTTCCTGATTTAAATCCAAAGCACCTGAGGGTTGAGGCAGGATCCAAGGAGAAAACCTGACAGAAGGAACCTGGCGCGTCTTGTTTAGGGATCGGACCCCAAAAAGATATTGGTCTTCCAGTTGGTTTCCCCGAAAACAATAAACAGTTACCTGACCTGAGTTGGTGGTGACCGGTGTGGTGACCGGTAGCGGGGAGCTTCCCATCTGGCTTCAAAAGAAATTCAAATGCGTATACTGTACCAATGCAACCGCCATCTAAGGGCCTGAAGAACCCCCAAGAAATGATTCTCAACTTGTTCCTGGAGTCTCCCTAAGGACCCGAATCAAAAATGGTTGGTCACTGACCCCAAAATAATGGTTGGTCAATGACCCATTTTTGATTCGGGTCATGGAGACTCCAGGTTCTTTTGGTTTTTCCCCAAGAAAACCAGAAAGGGGCAACTTCCCAACTCAAAACAACACAAGCGACCGGAGTTTCTCTTGAGGTTTTCTCACCTCCCTGGCCCCTGAAAAGTCAAAAGGGGAGGCCATCTGGGCCAAAACTCCGGAGGCGGCAAAGGACACAAAAGTCGCCAACACCCTGCCACCCTTTTCACACGGAACCATGCGAATTGGTGGGAGGGGCAAGCAAATGTGCCTACTTGTTCAATTCAGATTGGCTTTATCCAGTCATACTGACACTGGTGCGACAAATAAATCGACAAATGGTTCTGCATTCAGCGTTCATTTCAAATTACCTCTTCACCTTCCACCTTCACCAGATCGGTGCGAGAAGGGAGCCACCGCTTTTTAATGGGAATGAGCCGACACCCTTTTGGGTGTTGTTTGAAAGCCAGAAAGTCCTCGCCCATTTTGTGGGTCGCTGCTTGAAACCCAACACATCGCCCAGAACTAGGGCCCGATACGTTCTTTCAAAAACCTCAAAATGCCAAAGATCTTCGGCCCGAAAATCACCGGTGGCCCCCTTTCCCCCCCCCCCCTTTTTTGCCCTCTCCCACCCACATCCGCGACCGAGCCGTCCGAGCTGTCCGAGCCGGGCCGCGTGGGGCGAAGGTGGAAGGCCCTTGCGCTTCCAGCGGTCCAGCACCTCGCCGAGGTGCCTGGGCTCCTGGCGAACCGTCGAATCGAGGCGGGGACATGCGCGGGAGGTCCCTGGCGCCATCAAAACTCACCTTTGTCTTGGCCTATGGTCATGGCTACCTGAACAGGGTTGCAAAGTTTGGGGAGGGTTGGGTTCGGGGGGTTGGGGAGGTTGGGGAGGGTGGGGAGGTTGGGGAGCGTGGGGAGGTTGGGGAGGTTGGTTGGGGAGGTTGGGGAGGTTGGTTGGGTTGGTTGGGTTGGTTGGGGAGGTTGGGGAGGTTGGGGAGGTTGGGGAGGTTGGGGAGGTTGGGGAGGTTGGGGAGGTTGGGGAGGTTGGGGAGGTTGGGGAGGTTGGGGAGGTGGCTGAGGGAAGCCCAAAGCACGATGCAGGGTGGCCCTATGGGCTTTGTCCAAAAAAATACACCAGCCTCGACCCCAAAACAGCAAACAAGCAAAGCCCAGAACAAGGCTTGTCTCCTTCATCCAAGGTGCGAACTTGTGTAGCTTATGTGAGCAACACATAATTACAATCAGTCCATATATATCCCTGCAGGAAGTCCCCTTTTTTAGGAAGAGGACACATCGGGTCCATCCATCTCCTTGACGCCGGGTAAAAGCATCCATGTTGTTCATCGACTTCGCAAAAGAAAATTCCATGTCAATGCCATGTTCGAGAGTGAAGGCCCCGGGGATTCGGGGTGAATCAACCTAACACCTGGCACTAATCAAAGGAAGTTTCGAGGGAACTTGCGTAGTACGGACACTCAATGCACTTCCATCACCGCAGCATTTGGTGGCCGTCTCGCTACTCTGCTGAAACTTGCGCGTCAGTCTCAGCAGCCTGCGGCCGAGACTGGACACATGTGACTTCTGGTTGCTATCTTCTTCTCGAGCTCGGCTAAAGGTCTTGCCACAAGCAAAGCAAGAGAGCACTTGCATAAACTTGCAGACTGCGCCTTGTAGCGTTGCGGCCGGGACATCCTCGCCTAGCAACGCAGACACACGCCGGGCCAAATTAGCAAGCGTCAGCAAAGGTGCCCGTTTGGCGCGCACCTCTGTCACCCGGCGCAGCTCCAGAAAATCCTCAGTGTTTGAGCCGGCAGTAGCTTGGTCATCCAGGGTCTTCATCTCTGTCGTGTCCAGCGCGCCGCATGCTCCCAAGATGGCCAACGCATGGCTTTGCTCCATGCGCCCAACGCCGCTCCATTCCGGAACAAGCTTGGCTTTGAATGTCAGCTCCAGCCCTGCTCCATCGCGGAAACGTGTGAACTTTGCCCCAACTTACCAATGCTGGCTGCACAGTGGACACCACCAGCTTGGCCGGGTTCATCTTGGAGTTGGCGCTTATGGTTCGCAGATTGGTGTTCACATGTGTGGTGAACGACCGGCGGCCGTCATTCCAGCGCACGCCGCTGGCAACAACTTCTGGGCCTTGCGTACACTCAGCTCCAGCAGCACAGTAATCAACTGGCCGGGTTCATGAACTCTTTCCAAGTTGTCAAGGTCAGCGAAGTAGGTTGCCAGGAAAAGGCTCCTATGCATCAACCAAGTTTTTCGAGGAGAGCTCGACAAGTGCAGGGAAGATGCGAACAACTCTTACAAGCTAATGGTTTGGTTGGGGACCCGACTCACCCAGGCTTTACTTCCAGGACCATTCTTTCTGGAAACCGGTCAGAAAAAACCTTGAAGCTCGGACCCCCCCTTACGATGCAACAAGATGATAAGCACGACTGCTTGACTGTGTGTTCGCTCGTCCCTCTCTGCGATAGCACGAGATCTCCAAGAGCAAGTAACCAGGAAACCACCAAGCCACTCTGCGATTGGCGAAACGGCTCTTGTTGATGGCCTGAAAAAGAAACCATCAAACACGGCGGCGGCTTTAGCAACTCTTATTAGCTTCTACAGCCACCGACGTGTGTCGAAACATGGTCATGACCGTGTGTCCTTGTTGCAATCATTATATTGACGCCATTCCGTAATGTTGCTGGGGAGTTCGCCACGCACGCAGAGTGTCCAGCAGCACCGAAACCTGTTGCTTGAACGGGTCGGAATCGATGTAGTGGAGGCGAAGCTGTGTCGCCAAAGAAGAAATGGATGGACCATGCCTGTAGCATGTCTGTAGCATGTGTTGGTCTTGATGCTATCAGCACATCCCTCCAGCTTGGTTTCCCGACAAGCCACGTATGCTGCGAGCAAGTAAATCAGAATCTCGCCCGGAGCTGCCAAATTCAAGTCGAGATCTCGGAAAAGAACGTTGATTGCAAGAATGAAATGGAACTGCTCAAATTTCCAAAAATACTCACTGCGGGAGGCTAGCACAAGGGCCATGCAATACAGCTCACGTTGACCCCTTTGGTGTTCCATGGGTCCAGAGACTGTAGGGAAGCTAGTGCCGCAGAGAATGGCACCTTACGACGTCCCGCCATGAAAACCCTTGAGCCCTCGCACTTGCAAGCCCTGGGCACTTTCGGGGGACACCTGCAAAACAGCAGCGTCCATATTGCGGAATATGTGAGACATCTGTTTTCAACCCTTCTGTCAGGAGGCAACGAGATACGTCAAAGCTGCGACCTTGCCATCACGAAGGTGTGAAACGCTTCAGCAAAATGCGTTTGTCAGTGGGACTGGATTACATAGGTTGCAATGAGGAAGAAGCGTCGCAGGACCAGGTAAAGACTGGATATGATTTTGGCCGGGCCACATGGCTATCCAACTGAGAAGGTGCTAAATACTGGCAACAAGATAGGAGGCAAGGTTTACAACAGCACTGCCAACAAGAAAGGGTGCTCGAACTACAGTGATGCTACCAAGAGGAGACTAGAAGATGGGTGGAAAGCATGAGCAGCGCACGGCGCCAAGTAATCCTAGCAAGTTCTCTGCGCAAGTTCCTCTGAGCAAGTTGTTGGCGCGAGTTCCTTTGAGCAAGTTCTCCAAGCAAGTTCTTGGCACAAATTATTTGAGCAAGTTCTCTCAGCAAGTTTCTCCGAACAAGTTTCAATGAGCAAGTTGTCTGAGCAAGCTCTGTGCGCGCAGCGCTTGCCGCTGCAACTTGCTCGCGCCACTTGCTGGTGCTACTTGCTAGTGTATTATTTGAAAATGGGTTTGAAAATGACCAAAGTCCATAGGATAATAAAATTTCAACAAAGGGCATGGTTGAAACCGTGGATTGACTTCAACACTGGTAAAAGGAAAGAAGCCAAAAGCGATTTTGAGAAAGATTTATCTAAATTAATGAACAACGCGGTATATGAAAACCATGGAGGACAAGCGAAACCATATGGACTTTGAACTGGTGAATAATGAAGATAGATATGAAAAATGTGTGAATAACCCAACATTCAAAAACCGATTTATTATAAATGAAAATCTGGTAGGAGTTGAAAAAAACTAAAGCGAAACTGAAATTAGATAAACAGATTTTCCTGGGAATGAGCATTTTAGATTTCAGCAAATTGCATATGCATCAGTGTTACTATGATGTATTGAAAAAGAAGTATAATGAAAACATCAAATTGATATATACTGATACTGACAGTTATGTAATTCACACAATGACTGATGATGTCTATGATATAAGGATTTCAATGAGATAAAGCAACATGGATTTTAGCGACCATCCTGTTGAGCATCCATGTCATGACAACACAAACAAGAAGAAGGTCTTAGGAATGTTTAAGGACGAAGTTAATGGAAAAATATTACAAAATTCATTGGTTTAAAACCTAAATCATATGCCTTCACAATTCACGGTGAGGATGATGAACATAAGAAATCAAAAGGTGTAGTCAAACACAAGGTGAAAAAAGAACTGTCGTATCAAAACTACCACGAAGCATTATTTCAAAACAAAAAGCACGAAATCACATATAATTGTATTAGGAGTACGTCTCGTCAAATATATTCAATGTCTCAAGTTAAGCAAAGTCTGAGTAATTATGAAAACAAATGGTTTTATATTGATGCTTTCAATTCATTGCCATATGGGCATTATTCCATAAAGTAATTATCTAAATAGTTCTAAAAATATGAAATTATTAGAATTATGTTCAGGTACAGGTAGTGTTGGTCGGGTTGCTCGGGATTTGGGATATAGTGTGACTCTTTTTAGATTTGAAGAATGCTGATGTCAATCAGGATATGTTGTGTGGGCATCCCCTCCATGCGCCGAGTGCAGCAGGGCGAAAACGACGGGTGTCCAAAAGATAGAGTATGCTAACAGTGTTGTTTTAAAAACCCTTGAAATCATTAACTATTTCAAACCGAAGTGGTGGGTGATTGAATATCCCCAGACTGGTCTTTTAAAGGAACAACCATTCATGAGTGGTCTGGGTTACCATGATGTGGACTACTGCATGTGTGGCATGAACTATCGGAAACGGACGAGATTATGGACTAACATAACTACTTGGAAACCCAAACCATTATTGTAAAAGGGATTGTGGGAAGGTTAGGAATGGGAAACACATTGAAACTGCTCAACGGTTGCCATCGGGTAACAAAACAGATTGGGGTCAGGGATACATCAAACATAAACAGGAAGACCTATACAAAATCCCCGCCGAGTTGATCAGTGAAACATTTGTTAGCTTGTTTTAAGACCCTCAAAAGGGGAACAAGGACGACCCACCTCATCCCAGAACCTAGTGGACCGCAGTCATGTAGAGCTCGAACAGCAGGTCTTCCAGACCTCAGGACGGGGCGGATGCGGGGACTTAAAAGGAGGGGAGTGTGTGTTGGGGTTGGTGCGTCCCAGAAAAAGGGGATACCGTGTCCCAGACAAAGGGGATACCGTGTCCCATAAAAAGGGGATACCGTGTCCCAGAAAAAGGGGATGCCGTGTCCCAGAAAAAGGGGATGCCGTGTCCGATAAAAAGGGGATGCCGTGTCCCATAAAATCGGGATGCCGTGTCCGATCAAAAGGGGATGCCGTGCCCCATAAAAAGGGGATGCCGTGTCCCATAACAAGGGGATGCCGTGTCCCCATATTTTGGGGATGCCGTTCCCTGCATTGTTCCTACGGTGGCTGTG